ACATAATGTGCATTGAGAGTGCGCATCCCTGAGCAAACCGGTGGTAAAAAAAATCTGGAACCCACCCCTGATCCAGATGTACCTCGCCAGGTCCTTGGTAAGGACTCAATAGGTAGACACAAGTGCCAAACCCAGACTGAACATCTGGTTGACTGTGTGATGATTAACAACAACAACAACAACAAGTAGCCAAAGGGAACTCAAGAACCAGAAACATCTAGGATTGTATTTTTTACATTTATCTCTTTTAAGAATACATTTCTAGCCCACGTATTAGAAGGGCCATATGGAGTCTCTGCTAATTAGCTATGCATGAATAATAAGGTTTCCAGGGTTAATGAGCAGGGCTGGTTATATTATCATCTACCACAACAAACAAAACACATTAGAAGAATAAGGGAAATGAATAGCGCCCATAGATCATAAAAATTCTGCTTAAACAATGACTTCTTAGAAAAGCAAAATATTCCAGTATTTATTATTTTCATTAAAACCGGTTTACAGTTAATTAAAAACGCCCTTCTGTGGAGGAATGGGTGTTCTGCTTGGGCTAACAGGATTATGCCATAACCTAGCACGAAAGTCAAATTTTAGCAAGTTACAAAAACCGATTGCAAATTTCGTCAAGAAAAGCAAAAGGCAAGGACAATGAATATGCCAGCCTACAGTAATAAAAGAAAAGTCCCTTTCTTGGTTCCATTAAATTGCATATCATCAAATAACTGATACCACTGTGGGGCCTGATAGGGGATAGATAAGTAAACTCGCACTCTCTCCTTTAGAATAGTCTTTTTCAAATTTGGCAACTTAAAGCTGTGTGGATTTCAACTGCAAAAAGTAAGTATGTGTTTGTGTGTGTGTGTATACATACATACAGTAGTCCTTGACTTACAATCATCCATTTAGTGACCATTCAAAAGTACAACAGAACTGAAAACGTGACCTATGACCATTTTTCACACATGACCGGTGCAGTTTCTCCATGGTCACGTGATCAAAATTCAGAAGCTTGGCAACTGGTTCATATTTATGACGGTTGCAGTGTCTCAGGGTCATGTGATCCCATTTTGCGACCTTCTGACAAGCAAAGTCAAGGGGGAAGTGAGATGCACTTAGTGACCATGTTACTAACAGGTTTAACAGATTAATAGAGTTGGAAGGGACCTTGAAGACTTCTAGTCCAACTGTCAGCCCAAGCAGGAGATCCTACAACCCTTTTCACAGATGGCAGTCCAGTTTCTTCTTGAAAGCTTCCACTGACGAAGCTCCCACAACTTTTGAAGGCAACTTCTATTCCACTGATTAATTGTTCTCACTGTCAGAAAAATTCTCCTTATTTCTGGGTTGAATCTCTCCTTGATCAGTTTCCATCCATTATTCCTTGTCTGGCCTACAGGTGCTTTGGAAAATAGCTTGACCCCTTCCTCTCTGTGTCAGCCCCTCAAAATTGGAACATTGCTATCATGTCTTCCCGGTCCTTCTCTTCCCTACACTAGCCATGCTGAGTACTTACAACCGTTCATTGTATCTTTTAGCCTCCACTCCCCTAATCATCTTAGTTGCTCTTCTCTGCATTTTTAATTTGCTAACTTAACAAGTGCAGCAATTTGTTTAACAACTGTGGCAAGGAAGGTGATAAAAAGGGGCAAATGTCTTGCTTAGAGCAAGATAAACTTTGGGTTCAATTCAGAGGTGGTTATTCAGCAGGTTCTGGCCAGTTCTGGAGAACCGGTAGCGGAAATTTTGAGTAGTTGGGAGAACTGGTAAATGCCACCTCTGGCTGGCCCTGCCCCCAATTATTCTCTGCCTCCCGAGTCCCAGCTGATCGGGAGGGAATGGGGATTTTGCAGTAACTTTCCCATGGCATGGGGATGGAATGGAGATTTTACAGTATCCTTTCCCTGCTATGCCCACCAAACTACGTCACTCCCCCCAAGCCACGCCCACAGAACCAGTAGCAAAAATAGCAGTTAGCAATAGCAGTTAGACTTATATACCGCTTCATAGGGCTTTCAGCCCTCTCTAAG